TTGTTAGATATCAGTGGAAAAGTCATGGACCATTAAAAAATAGCTAATATCATGCAAATTAGGTAAATTAATATGCACGGATTTGTACCAAAAACTAATTAAATCTGCGCATATGTCAGAGCATCTATGTACCAAGTTTCATCAAAATCCAATGAGTGGTTCTTTAGATATCAGTGGAACAGTCATAGAACAGCTAAAAATTAGCTAATTATCATGCAAATTAGGTAATTAACGAGGATGGATTTTTACCAAAACCTAATCAAATCTGCGTATTGGCCCAGAGCAACTATGCACCAAGTTTCATCAAAAACCGATGTATGGTTCTTGAGATAGCAGTGGGACACACATACAGTCGGACACACATACACATATACACACACACATACAGACACACGAACTGCAAAGACTCCCATTTTGTGCTTCGCACATGGGAGTCAAAAAGGGATTTTCACTAAATTTTATTGTAATTGATTTATTTCTTCAAGCAAAAATAGATTCCAAAGGAAAATAAAATAATTTACAGTACTGATAGTTTCTGATTTGTTTTGCTCATAGGTATCGCTGGCTGAAGGTATGAATGAATCGTTCAGAGTAGAATGTAAAAAAAAGAAATATTCACCTTCAGGAAAATACAGTATTTTTCAGTAATTAAATTTAGATGTTATATGGTGCATATTTAATATTGTGTCAAATAAAATATAAATTAGATTCTACAGTCACCATTTTCAAACACGAGAAAAATAGTTCTTATGAATAATCATGACAGGGAAAACTGGTTCTCCATTATTTTAGCAACAATAAATGTGGCTACCGGGTATATAGACATGTACCGGTATACACATTTAGTAGAATACAAAACTAGATAACACAAGTAGATATAGAGTAAATAAAACACCACATATGGAGTGGGGATTACAGTACAATGCAGACACCACAGGCAATATGATCCACTCTATTGTGTTACTGTACAACACACGATTTAATTATCTTTGGAAGATACGTCCATGTCCTGTGGGTAGCGGAATTAAATATGGTTTCTGTGGTGATTATATTGTACAGGACAACAGCGGCTTCAATATGGCACCAATAGTTATTCAAAAATTGAAAGAATGGGCACAGATGGACCTGGTCACATGATTCAACACACATGGCTTCTAGTTCTGGGAAAATAATTTCCAACATAATATAAATAGCTCTAAGAACTGTGAAAATGGCTTCCAGTACTGGTAAAATAGCTTCCAGAATTAGTAAAATGGCTTTCAGTACTAGAGAAATTGCTTCAAGAACTGGAAAATATCTCCCAGAATTCGTAAAATAGCTTTCAGTACTGGGGAAATTGCTTCAAGAACTGATAAATACCTTCTAAGATTGGGGATATAATTTCTAGTACTTGGAAAATAGTTTGTAGTATGAATATTAAAAATAGCTTTCAGTACTGGTAAAATAGCTTCCAGAATTCTTAAAATAGCTTTCAGTACTGTAAAATAGCTTCCAGAATTCGTAAAATAGCTTTCAGTACTGGTAAAATAGCTTCCAGAATTCTTAAAATAGCTTTCAGTACTGGTAAAATAGCTTCCAGACTTCGAAAAATTGCTTTCAGTACTGGTAAAATAGCTTCCAGAAATCGTAAAATAGCTTACAGTACTGGTAAAATAGCTTCCAGAATTCGTAAAATAGCTTACAGTACTGGTAAAATAGCTTCCAGAATTTGTAAAATAGCTTTCAGTACTGGTAAAATAGCTTGCAGAATTCTTAAAATAGCTTTCAGTACTGGGAAAATAGCTTCCAGAATTCTTAAAATAGCTT